CTGGAATTAATAACGAATAGAACATTTTTCTTGGTGGGATGTGATGGGACGTTATACGAGGGATATGGTGTAAATATTATATCTAGCCAGGATAACTAACAAGAAACAGTTAAAGCAATGTTGAAGTCTTGGAACTAAACAAAGCTTGATACATTTATTTACGCACAAGATTAAAGAAAACTTAAGGATTACTAGTCTATTACAGCCTTTACAATTCTTTATTATATTTAATAAAGAGTTCATATATATAAGAGGAAAAAATCACCTATAATACATTTATTTCAAAATTGTTATCTTTGAGTTGCCACTAGTTTTCGACGAACCATCATGCTGTTGCTTGTTAAGGCCGTAAAGAAGGTTTTCAACCAACGATGCACGATCAGTAGCGTCTCCATCTCCATCAACATTCATGTCTGATTGGTTGGTATCCTCATCCGTTGAGGATTCGTACAGGCTTTCATCAATGGTATGTTGTTTCACAGCCAACATGCTTTCAGTAATATTAGAATCGCCCTTCACATCAAATACACCTAATCCAAGGTCCATTTCAACGTACACCTGGTCACTTTTTTCCTGGTCATCGATCTGGGTGGAAGACAAGGCTGCTTCAGATTCGTTTTTGATCTCTGAAAATAGCTCTTCATTTGCCTTTTGTAGCTGTGGCAAAAACGATTCTAATCTACTTAAAAGCTGAGATGGTGCAGCAACTTTAAATGTATACCCTTCCTTTTTACCCTGTGTAGGGTTTATTCTGATCTTTTCTAATATCTCGGAGCGAGGATCTAAAAAGAAAGAGGTAAAAATCATGTTAAATCGTATTTTCCAGTATTTAGCACAGCTCAAACCCCATACATGATGTTCTTTCGTTTAATTTTCACTAAATAGCTGCTTTAAAAGTAACCACCAAAACATGATTTCTAAAACTAATGTGGTTTTAGCCATCATACTTGTTCGAATCATTTTGGCAAGTATATAAAAATCGTTAAATCAGAATTATTACCTAGGCTTTTTGAATCCAATTCAAGTAGCTCGCTATTTGTATCCTTTCGTTTGTTTTCCATTGTTTTGGATGGTGTAAGCCTCTATATTAATGTATTTTAATAGCTAGTCAAGGTTTTAGTGTTTCTGATGTAATTTCGGTTTTTTATACTCTCCACTTACAAAAAAAAATCATCAAAAAAAAAAAATCAAATTAATATTGAATTATCTAAACACAAGTTACCTGTTACATAATCAGAAACCAAACTACTAAAGCAGCAAAAAAAAGAAATCAGAAAAATCAAAAAAAATAACACAAACAGATCAATAATTGGAGGTAGCGTCGTTCAAGGCAACACAAAGGACACCTTTTTCATGTCCATGAAGCTCTCGGATAACCTGACCAAGCGAAATATCCCATAGCGCAGCAGTGGTATCAGAGCTCACGGTAACCAGATAGCCGCTGTCGTTACTAAAGGCAGCATCCCAAACCCACGCCTTGTGATACTGAAGGGTGTGGAATAAACTTATTTTTAGGTTTTTACTGTCTTCGCCATCACTTGTACCACCTCGTGTGCCGCTCGATTTATTAGCCAAATCTGAAGGATCTAAATCTTCAACAAACTTTGTCCTAGTGTCGCTATCAGGGGTCCTATTTATTTCTATACCTTCTTGTTCACTGTCGGAACTACCCTCTGAAAGTTCACCTAAATAATCTCCAAATGTCCACACTTTTGCAGTTTTATCAGAAGAACAGGTGACCAAATACCTTCCATTTCCGCTGAATAACACCTTGGTTATATAGCAACCCCTATGTGCATCGAAACTTGTTAGGAGTTCCATATCAACATACTTTTCATTAGCAGTCAGTGGTCGTCTTTTAGCCTTTGCCTCATACACTTCATGCCTAATCACCAACCTGTAAACGAAGCACCTCCCATGGTTGTTTGCTGCTACAAGCAATTTTCCATCTGGGCTCACCGCAACTCCTCGAATCGCCCCCTTTTCGCTTCCACTTGGCTCTACATGATGCTCAATCTCACTATTCCTTAGCGACCAAACTCTAACACATCCATTTTGATCACATGTAACCAGGAGATCGTGTCTAGGCCCTGGAATTATTGCTAGGTCATTAACTATTCCGTTATTTTCCAATATCCGTTTACAAGTACCAGTTCTTAAATCCCACCATCTCACGGTTTTATCCTCTGAAGAAGTTGCTAGATATCGCATATCACTTGTAAATTCTACTGCAGTCACAGCGGATAAGTGGCCATCAAGAGTGAGAATCTAGTATTTTTTTTGTTATGGTTTCATGTTATTATTGCAGGATCTATACTTGGCTACTGGATGTTTTCCCATTCTTTAAAAGTAATATGATATCCTTCCCCCTTATTTTCTTTTAGTTTTTTATATTTCGATCGTTCATTCTCAGACCCAACACTCAGCGGATGAGAATCAACAACTTTTTCGGGGCTTCGCTTGGTTTTGCAGCAAAAAAAAAGTGAATTCAAGACTAGGGTAAATCTATGATTTGAGTATATATATTTTTTTAAAAAAAAGCAGTACCTGATTCGAGTTAAACACATCATACAATCGAACGTGTGGGTTTCCAACCACCGCTAAATACATTTTATCCGGAGAAAGTGCCATTCTATTAATTTGCTAGAAAGTACACGTTTGTATTTACTCGTTTATCAAATTTCTAAATGGATTTTGATTGTATTACATGTACTAGTAGCTTTACAAATCAAAAACACCTACTGAATCGGGATATGGGATCGTTTTCGAGCAAGTGCTTTTTAAGGCATCCCACATCTTTATCGTTCTGTCAAACCCCGCTGTCACTAGAACCACCGCATTCTCTTCATATGATACAGGTCTGGTATTTTCCGTTTTCTCCATAGGTATAAATTAATCAATTATAAAAGAGCTGGTAATGGAAGTATGATGTATCTTACGAAAACATTTACCTCGCTAAAGGGATTTTATTTCGTTTCAAGATTAGTTGTGGTTATTTAAACCACTTTTTTCCATCAAACAGAACATTCAAAATATCAATTGGCTGTGATTACCTCAACCATCCAGTAGAAAATTAGAAAATTAAACTTATTTATTAGAACACGACTATAAAATCCACCACATTAAATAAAGAACCAGCAGTTGTGGAAAAAAATAAAGTCTTGTTGTAGGGTTGCCTTGGATTAAGTGTGCAAATCACAATAACTGTTTAGTAATACTTGCTCACCCAAACATATCGACTATGTAGATATAGGAAAATGGGTATAAAGATAAAAACCAAACTTATCAATAATCCCTCCATCCCACCTGCTCAATCCTATCTATCTTTTTACTAACTTCAGCATTCAGGTTGTCAAGTTGAGCTTGGACCCCGTCCAAATATGATCCAGACGAGGAAGCAAGGATTCTTGCTGCAAGAATTCCAGCGTTATCTGCGTTGTTTATAGCAACAGTTGCGACGGGAATACCACTGGGCATTTGAACAATGCTATACAGCGAATCAACACCATCAAGAGTTCTACCTTTTACAGGAACTCCAATGACAGGAAGAGGTGTCAACGCAGCTACCATTCCAGGTAAATGCGCGGCTCCCCCAGCACCGGCGATTATCACCTTAAATCCTCGTTTATGAGCATTTGTGGCATATTCCACCATCCTATGTGCCGTTCTGTGTGCAGACACTATTGTTAACTCGTAGGGAACGTTGAATTTTTCAAGTTGAACAGCTGCTTGTTTCATTACTGGTAGATCCGAATCAGATCCCATTATAATGGCCACAAGTGGTGCAGGTTTATACCCACTCTGCACAGTACCTGTCTCCACTTGTCGCGGCTGGGAATTTTCCGGTGTCTTGAAATTAACAATACCCAAAATCTCCTTTACCTTTTTCTCAACCACTACGGCCGAGTCACCCACTACCGTTACATGACCCATTTTCCGGCCCTTTTTGTTTTCACTTTTACCATACATATGGACGGTACTTCCCTTCACGGCCAATAATTTGTTAACAATCACGTCCATTGGACTGGTTTTGGCACTATCTATATTATGTGCTTTGCAATATTCAATAAAGCACTCGTCCTCGTTACTAACACCCAAGATATTTACCATCGCTGCGTTAGGAACCTTAAGGTTAGTTGATCCTATTGGCATCCCTAAAACACTCCTAATATGGTTTTCAAACTGTGATGTCTCACATGCCTCGATTGTGTAGTGCCCTGAATTATGTGGCCGTGGCGCAATCTCGTTAACCAAGATTTCACCCTCTCCTTGTAACAAAAACATTTCTACCCCAAACACACCTGCACTGTTTCCAAAAACCTTCTGTTTCTGTCCATCACATTCAATTTCATATGGAATGTTGCATATGCTTTCAACTGCCTTTTCCGCCAATTCCTTTGCCTTTTCCATCAATAACCCGTCTATTCCTGCAGGTGCGTACACAACATGACAAATATTGTTTTTCTGGATTGTTTCGACTATCGGATAACTTTCTGTTTCCCCAGCTTTCAAGCCCTTAACAACCATCACCGCGATTTCCTTGTCAAAATTAACCATTTTTTCGGCATATATACCCGAATCCCTTGTCCCATTTTCACCCATCGTTATATTGCTACACCCACCACCTGTTAACTGATCCCAGGCCATTCTAATATCCTCTTTTGCCTTCACAACTACATTTCCCCTACCATCATACGCACCTCTTTTACTTTTTAGCAAATACGGATATCCGTACCTCTCTCCTATGGTAATTGCCTGCTCTACACTTTCAACGTCGCTAAAGTCCGCCACTGCTATTCCTGCATCCTTTAGAACCCTATGTTGTATATACTTGTCCTGGATTACCTCTATCACCTTTGGTGAGGGATATATACCAAGATCTCTTTCTCCTGCTGCGCCAAAGTCTTGGGCTTTGCCATTTCTCATTTGATCAACCGACAATTCCGTTAACGCGGAGGTATCTACATGCTCTATCTCCATAGTAATCACATCAACCTTGCTTGCAAGCTCAAATATAGCTTCTTTGTCTGTGAATGCCTTGTGAATATGCTCGGCATTGCTGAGCTGTTTTGCAGGTGAATCTTGCTGTGGATCTACAAAAACCAACTCCACTCCTAGCCTGTGTGCTGCCTCCTGCATCATACGGCCTAACTGTCCTCCCCCCAACACTCCTATGGTTTTTTGATTTTTCACCATCTTGGGAATACTTTATTGGATTTTATCTTTTTTATCTTGGATAATCGCACTTTTATTCAGAGGAAAATGACCAAGGCTGCAATTTACCAAACTAATGTTATTTACGTTGCTTAGAATGGATGAAAATATTTTTTTTTTGAGTCACACTTTCTAATCTAAAGTGTAAAATCAAATCAGATCACAGACATACCTCAGCTAATCAGATTTCTCTAGATAGTGGAATTTTGAAAGACAATAGTAACTCTAATAACAAGTGCAAAACAACCCCTCCTCCCCCGATCTTTTGAACTACACCACCATCGCAGCATAAAAATACAAAATCTAAAAAGATGTCTTGGCTCGGTTTCTCCAAACCACTAAAACTGTCTATGCTTATTTTGTTTTAAGGCACTCCTAACTCACTCACACATGGTAATAGCTCTAGCTGTAAACAGGAAAGGCGCATTTATCGATAGTGGGTGACAATGGTAAATGCACAACTGTCATCTATGGCACCGCGAA